CAGTCATCACAACCACTCTTTACCAAGAGCCTACTGTGTGCCTGGGAGTATTACATATTACGGCCTATTAAAAAAGACTGTTAATTTCTGTTATCACCCCATCATGTATACATTCTTATCTCCATTTATTCTTCAGCTGGGGATACTTTGGGTCAAAAAAGCAACTTGCCTGCCAGGGCAGAGTTGCTGATGGGTAGAGTTGAGACCTGAATCCCAGAAGTCTACTTGTTTTCTTCTATACAATACTGTCTTTCTGACTGACAGCATCCTGAAGATTGCAATCCTCCTGCAGGCAGCCACTGTGCTGTGTATGAGTGTGTGTGCATGTGTGCACATGGGCATGCACATATGTGTATTGTATATTTTAATTCCACTCCACAGAGAGACTATAAACTGGCCTGGCACAGAATGTTCAACAGATAAACGCTTGCTAGTTTGAATTTCCACGTCTAAGAGATGGTTCATGGTGATGTTTTTTTACCTTCACAAATAGATAAAATATTCATGCTAGCTTCACATTCTCATTCTACAGATGTAGCAACAAGGGTTTGAGCAGAACAGTCACTGGCAGAACTAAGCTTAGAATCTAAGCCTTCCGACTCCCAAACGGCCACTCCACATGCCACATCTCATGGGAATGGAGAAGTCCATTTGTTCTCAGTCACAGTTTCTCCTTATTCTTCTCTAGCTGCTGATCATCAAATGATTATTTAAGGAAAGGAAGACATATCTGGATACTACAAATGTATTTTTCATTATTGGCAAGAACACGTGGAAAAGGGTAGAAGTTTGAGTTTCTCAACTTGTATTTGGGTGTGAGATTGTATTACACTGAGAATCCATTCTACAACAGGAGTCCGTCCATATGGACTTGGGGGCTTTGGATGGGCTTCAGCTGGGGTGGTTACCCAGTCCCCAGCCTCAGAGAACCATCACCCTATGCTATCAGAGCAGAGAGGATGAACACTCAGTACAGTCATTTTAGTAGTGAGATAGCAAAATACTATTTTATATCATATTCTTGCAAGGGATTGACTTTTTTAGACACACACTGAGTTGTCTTTACAAAATGAACATTCCATTTACAAAAAGTATTATCAAATTAATAGCATAACAAGTTTTCAGGGGAGGTTTATTAGAGTCAAATATTTTAAAAGCTGTCATTTAAACAGAAGTAGTTGTTAAATTGAGGAGATAATTAGGTACCTGAAATTAATCAAAGTATATTTTTAAAAATAAACTCTATATCTGACTCATTCCAAATATATCTCAGCCTTGTCCAATTCCCTGTAATATATTGGAAATTGGCAGTTTTGCAAACAAATCTGCACATTGCCTTTGGCCATTAAAATCTTGCCCTGCCCTTACCATGGTGAATTCTACAAAAATGTGCCCCAAGTTAAAATTTAAGCTACAAGATACTTGGAGTCTGCAGACTTTGACATACAATTTATCAAGCAGATGGCCAGGTGCAGTGGCTCACACCCATAATCCCAGCACTTTGGGAGGCAGAAGCAGGCAGATCATGAGGTCAGGAGTTTGAGACCAGCCTGGCCAACATGGTGAAACCTCGTCTCTACTAAAAATAAAAAAAGTAGCTGAGTGTGGTGGTGTGCACCAGTAATCCCAGCCACTCGGGAGGCTAAGGCAGGAGAATCACTTGAACCTGAGAGGCGGATTTTGCAGTGAGCCAAAGATCACATCAGCTCAATTTCCCCCTCTTTTCCTCTTTCTCCCTGTATTTTTTTCTCTATCTTTTTTGAATTGCCTTTTACACTATGATCATGCCAGCTTAGTGGCCTAGAAGAATTTATAAGAGAGAATTAGAAGATCGGTGACATTCTACCCATAGGAAAACTGGTGTGAGTTGAGATTCCTTTATTCAAAAAATACTTTTGAGTACCTGTTACATGGTAGGTTAGGGGATGGGGCAGTGAACAAAGACACTGCATTGCAAAGAGGGAGAAAGAAATGGTATACAGCAAGACAAACAAGCAAACAGAACTGCAGATGAGCTATCAGGTGGGAATAAGTCCTATAAAGCATAGAGCAGAGCAAAAGGATACGGAGTGATGGGAGGGGCGGGAGGGGCCTGCTTGGGAGGCAGAGGTGAAAGAGATAATTCCTCCCTTGCATGGATGAATATTTTTGTGGTGTGTGCTCTTTGGCACTTGTATTTCTGTTTCATTTTTATTTTTTAAATACTATTTCAGTTTTGTAAGAGCTGAGGTGATGAATGAAACGCCGGTTTCTGCTTAGTACACAGACAATTTGATGGCAAAGGCAGAATGTCAGGATTTTGTGCAAACAGGAGCGGTAACAAGAGTTCTCACTGACATTGAGCCAGCTAGGCTCAGTGATCACTGTCTCCCATCACCCCCAACCTGGAGGAAACCGGACCCTATCCAATATAGGATGCATTAATTATGGAGAACATTCAGGTCCACCTTTTCTTCATCATCTCAGCTAATTGAATGCATATGTTCACAACTCCATTGGTAAAATGGTCTCTCCCTAAATTATGGCTTAGAGCTATTTTTCTCTCTTGGCAGGGTAACCACTTTACAAATTATTTTTGTTTTTGTTTTCGTTTTTGAGGCAGGGTCTTGCTCTGTCACCCAGGCTGGAGTGCAGTGGTACTATCAGGGCTCATGGTAGCCTCAGCCTCCTGGGCTTAAATGATCTTCCCAACTCAGTGCCACCGAGTAGCTGGGACTACAGGCATGTGCCACCATACCCAGCTAATTCTTTGTATTTTTTGTGGAGATGGGGTTCTGCTGTATTGCTCAGGCTGGTCTCGAACTCTTGAGCTCAAGAAATCCTCCCTCCTTGGCCTCCCAAAGGATTACAGGTGTACATCACTGTGCTCGGCCTTCCAATTCTTTATTGTCCTCTTTTCTCAGCCATTATACTGCTGCTTCTCTTTGTCTTGTGTTCATAATTTCAATGAGGTATGACTTGATGTTAGTGCTACAAGGAGTAATAGAAAAAAAAAAATACAGTTCCAATGATGTGCCGTGGCCCAGGCTAGATGTTTTCCCAACTGTTGTTGTATTAGTTAACCCTCATTAACAACCACAGCAGTAAAGAATACCTCATTGTCCAATAATATTCCCAAGGTCACAGAGATGATGAACAGAGAGGATTCATCCTAGGACCCTTACAGTACACTCGGCCTTTTAGTCCAGGGCTTCTTAAATGTAGTTGCACATCTGTATTACTTTGGGCTGGTTTGTTAAACAATGCAGATTCCTAGGCTCCAGGTCCAGAAGAGTCTGACAATCTGAATCCCTAGGTGAGCCTGGGATTCCATACAGTTAAAAAATCATATTTCTCCTTAGTGATTCCTAAGATCAGTCAAGTTTAGAAAATTTTGGTTCATGATATATGAAGCCCAGAACAAAAAGATTCCCAAGACATATCTGGGGCTAGATTTCACTTTCCTGATCAGGATATTTAATATGCAAACTGAAGCTGTGCCCCATGTCTGCCAGATCTGGCTTTACTTTTTTTTTTTTTTTTTGTGGCAGTCTGCCTTCTGACACGCTGTTCTGTGGCTTGCTGTTTAGTCTAACTCCCCAGCTACAACGTAACTTCCACTGTTGCAAGCATCGTTGCCTTCATGTGTTTCACTGGTACCCCAAGCACCAAGAACCAGGTCTGGCTCATGGTGAGACCTCTACAAATTATTGTTAAATTAATTAGGATCTTAATTTAACCTTTCCTTAATTTTAAGGAAGACCTTGACTTTCACTGGGAGCTATTTCCATGGGGTGCAGCTACCTTTTCCTCTTCCGACAAGGGTTCCTTTAGCTCTCTAGAATTAGATTTCAGTGGCTGCATCTCCCTTGTTATCAATATCAGTCTAATGGTTGTTTTAAGCAATGTCCATTTCCTTGCAAAACGCAGAAAGTGTGGGGCTTAGAGATCTGGCCGAGTGGGGCTCCTACTCCCCTATCTCAGCTCCCAAAGCCTGGTGCTCAGGTCTATTACTGGGTGATGCCAGTTGGGCTAAGGTCTCTGACTGCCTTGCTAGAATCTGAACACATAAAGAAAAGGGCACTGAGGGAGGACTGTTGGTGACAAATGCTGACGGAGATGCTGGCAGTAGGCTAGGGCCAAAAGAAAGCACTGATTGATACTCCCACAGACCTGACTGCAATCACATAGATGTCATATGCCACCTGTATGACCCTGAACAAGTCTCTTTACCTCTCTAAGCTTCATTTTCCTCTGTTATCAAAAGAAAATGAGTATCTATCTCATAGAGCTATTTAAAAGGCTGAAGTAAAATCAGGTATATAGAACTGGCTAATAAGTCAAAGTAATCATTTTTGCATTTCTCTGGACCATGAAAAGATAGTAAAATGATAAAAAAAATTATATATCTTTATGTGCACAAATATATACATAACTTAGAATTTGATATGGATATATAACTTAAAAGTAAACCGATGATTTAATGGAAAAGGGGAGATAAAATTCAATTGTAGATGGACTATGGCTCAAAGCTATAGCCCTGGGCCTTAAGGCATTTCCCAACACACAGTCAATATTCAACAAAAGTGTGTTGAATAGCCAGTGAAGGTCCTCTTCCCACGCCCAGCACCAGTGAGGACAGTGGACATGACATAAATCAAGAGGTTTGGGATATTCTACCTGTCACCTAAGCTAGAGTCCTATGTCCCAATGCAAAGATTAGAAATAGCCTCCCTTGCCCAGATCCAGCATAACCCATACATGGCAATTAGAAGATAAAACCAGTGTCACCTTGGGTAGCATCAGGATAGACTGCTATCAGGAGGACCTCCAATAGTATTACCAGCTGCAATAAAAAAGCACTTCTTTGAATGCTTTTTCTACCTAATTGTCAAAACCGAATAATATTATCAGCTTTTTTATCCTTTGAGTATTTTTCTAATAAGAAAGCACGGAGATGCATTGCAAATAAAAGCAGAAGATTTGAGGATGCAAAGCAATCATGCGAAATGACTTTCATATCAGTGTGATAAGCAGCTGAAATTTAATAACTACATCTCTCCTACGGTGCTGGATGAAAGTTTAATACTTTCTGCTTTGGCTTCTTTCTTCTGCAAGATGCTTATTCAGAACTGTAGCTTCTCTTTTATAGTCAGGAAAATGAGAGGTGCAGTGGATTAATCAAAGCCTTGAGAGGCTGGGCCCAGCCCCAGCCCAAGCCAAACCACAGTGTCTGAGAATCTAAACCAAGTCAAGCCCAAGGCTATCCATGACCCTTGGGGAAACAGGTAAAGATTTCCAAATATCTCAAAATACAGGTGAAATGTCAGTCACTGTGGAAAGCACACACCTATTTAAAGCTAAGAAATAATTTTAACTCTCCAAAATATCTTTATTTCTTCTTTGGTTGCGAGTAAATTGTACAACAACAACAAAAAGAAAAAAGACATTTGGAATTAAATGAAAATTCCATATTTTTAAAAAGAACAAATCAAACTCAAGAATGTTATACACAAGAATGTCTTCTGCAGATCAGGGTACATGTAATAAAGAGTGGATGAGTGAATTGATTAATACCTGATTGGTTTGCAATTTATAGCTGGAAGAGCTCTGAGATGGTATCTAGCACAGCCTCCTCATTTTAGAATTGGGGGAATTGAAATGTAGGAAGAATTTCGATGGTCAAATTCACAGGGAAAGTAGCTGCATCAGCACAGGTCTGACGGACATTCATCTCATTAGGCCTGGTGAGACTGTCAGGGTCCAGGGGTCCCCCATTCCCCACACTGTCTACACAACCCAGGCAGGGAATTTGTCCAGTGCTCTCAGCACCCAGCTGACAACAGCCACAGCTTTCAAATGAACCACTTTGAAAAGATATAAAACCTAAAGGGAGAGGGAGGAGCATTTGATTAGACGTTGTCCAGACAGAACTAGGAGACCCATTCAAAACCAGTGTTCTGTACTAATGGATCTTCCCAGCTCTGTGTTCCAACCAGAGTCAAGAGGGGATGGGTCTCCCAGAGCGGGGAGTCTTGCCCCGTTGAAGGGCCAGCCAAAATGGGGTTCCGCTGGCTTGCTCTTCTACTGCCCCCTACTGGGGAGTTTTTTGCCAAGGAACGAAGTGGGCTGCTGCTAAGTTGTTTTTCACAATGGGGGCAACTAAAGTCAACCAGGGATTGTATCTCAGCTGTAGAACGCAGCGATCATTTGCAAACACATAAGGCAATGCGGAAATGTGCATGAGCCTCCTAAAGGTTAAAGATGAATCTTGATAACGACTCGCATTACTTCCTAGGCGAATTTGTCTGAAAAATAACCCCGGCACATGGCTTTGTGCTATTTCTGTATGTATGCACCTATGCAGATACGTGCAGAATATTATATATTTTTAAGATAGGTATAAACAGATAGCGATACAATGAAGGAACATCTGAGCCAGTCATCAGCTCTAACTGCAGCCTTTTAAAAGAAAATGTAACTCCAGATGTCGTCTTAAGAAAATGAATCAATTAGGCAAATGAGGAATTTCCTCATAAATCAGAGGATGGGAAGCTGAAGTCCAGTCCTTGCCCAGGGGAGGAAACAGAGATGAGGCCTGCCTAGAGGCTGCCATTTTTCACGGCCAGGTAACCCAGCTGCCTCCTGCTCTCCTGAAGTCGTGTTTACCTTACTGAATGCTGGTTTGATTTGGAAAGTGTTCTGAATGTTCCAACCTTTTTACCCTGAAGATAATAATGCCTCAGCCTTCAGGAGTGGGACCCAGTATAAGCTGGTGTCACTATTCATGAAATAATTGAGTTTACACAAAAAGTGATTTCAGTAATAGCTGCCTTTTTATAAGTATGTACATTTTATTTAAAATTACTGACTCAAAAGGCAAGGTAGAAAAAAAAATCACCTCCAACAACTTCCTGTAATTGCGAATTATTGTGAGGGAAACAGAAGGAAAAGATTTCGAAATTATGAGCCATTATGCTCAAGAGAGAGAGAGAGACGGAGAGAGAGGGAGAGAGAGAGAGGCAGTGGGAAAAAAAAAAAGACAGCCTGGCTTCATGAAACACAGCTGACAAGCTCGACTAAATTACCCCCGGACCATTACAAAAATCACTTAATTGCCAAGCATTTTGTTAGGTCAATTGACTCTAATTGAAAAAATAACAAAAAGCTTATTATGCTGCAAATGCGGCCGTGGAAAATGAGTCTTCTGTTAGAAGGAAACAATAATTCTAAATTTCAGCTGCTGCTAACACTACAAAGTTCAGTGTTTCCTTCGGATAGAATCCGCAGTAGAGGAGAAAGTGAATATGCATCAATTGATTTTTTTTTTCCTTTTAGCGCTTCCCCCTCCCCACTTCTTGCTCTTCCTGATCTTCCCCTTCCCTGCCTTGTCCCACCCCCACCCCTACCCCCACCTTGTCCCCACATGATTAGCAGGGACCCCCCCCACCCCCTTCCATCAGCAAATATATACCCCACTCCCAGCTCCCTCCTTATCTTCCTGCAAGAAAGGGTTGGGGAGACAAAGAGGGGGTCAGCAGTGTGGGGCCCTGGGTTAGGGGAGATGTCCAGTTTCTGCCCTTCCCAGCCTTGGCAGGAGGCTGCAGCCTGGGTAAAATGCCTCCCCGACCATTTTCTTTCTAGGAGCTGCTCTTTCTCTCTTCCGTCCTGGCTGTCGCGGTGTCTCCTCCCCTCCCCTTTTAAATGCAGATAATAGAAAAAGGCAAACAGCTTATGTCCACAAAATTCCTCTGAAATTGCCCCCTAACATGTGCACCCAGAGCTGGCCTTGATTGACATCAAGTGCAGTAATTAAAAACCCCGCCAGCTGACATAGGTGAAGGTTTATTTATAATTACACATTTTTAGGATGGCTCGTCCAGGGTCGATGCATTTAAAAAGATAAATCAGCCACAGTTCTGTTACTCCCCCAGTTATAGATTTCAATGGTGGGAGTTTATAATGGGGGGGGCGCGGATTCTGCTTTGCAAAAAAGAAGGGAATTACGTGTCCATAAAATCAGGAGACCAGGGTAGGAAAGTCTGATGGCAGAGCCTTTGTTTAGAAAGCTGTGGGAGAGAGAGAGAGCCTGTGTGTGTACATGTGTGTTCCTGTGTGTGCATGGTTATGTGTACCTGCGTGTGTACATGGGCGTGTGTGTGGGCCTGTATGTGTATATGCACGGGTCTGTGCATATGGATTCGTGCACCTGTGTGTATACACATGTGTGCCTGCCTGCACATGCGGGTGCATGGAAGGAGAGTCACGCGGTGCAGGAGAAAACACCTCCAGAGCCCCGTGAATAAACACAGAGCTGTACTCACAAACCATTTCCTCGCTTGCTTTACCTAAAATATTAAAAATCATGCCCAGCTTCAAATCCAAGATGATCAGATCTGACATTCACAAGAACACAATGCCAGAGACGATGCCTTCCTGGGAGCCCAGGGAGCTGGAACAGGGGCTTCTTGGAGGGTCGCGTGGGCATAGAGTTCCTAGGAAGCGGAAGCTGCCCGCACACAGCAGGGTGTTTGACACCCTTGGGGCATTGCCCAATAAAAGCAGCCAGCAGTCCCCGCTCATCAACATCCGCTTCTCATTGTTGCTTTTTTGTAGAGCCTGATATCACTTACCCAGAGGGGCAGAACCGGCCATATCAGACTGCGCATCTCACGTGTGGGGTTTCTTGGGCCCCACAGCTGTAGACAATGGTGGGAGCGGCTTTGGAGAGCCCCGACTGTCACCTGGTGTCTTGGCAGGCAGCTGAACCTAGAAGTAAACTGAGCCAGGCTGGGAGCTACAGGTGTTAAAGGTACCAGAAAGCAAGTCTTGAAAATCAGATAGGAGAGAAAATGGGAGCAACAGGAAGCCTTTGTACAGGGGATGCCACAGCGTTTCAGACGTGCCTTGGGTTGGGGGGCACAGGCCACAGGGCTTGTCCAAGAAGGCAGGATGCAAAGGCCACTGCTGACCAGGGAGTCAAGAGCTGAGAAAGGGTCCAGGTGCATCACCCAGGAACAGTCCCTCTGCCCCAGAACGCTGCACAGAGAGATTGCCTGGAAGGAAGCAAGCCCCTCCGATTAAGTGGCAGAACCCTACTGAGGGAAATAAAAGTGAGGAATGGTGAATTCGGCACCACTTGCCAGACCAATGGGCTTCATCAATTAATCACAGCCAAATAATCACCACCTACATTAAAGAATAATACATGAAAAGGACAGGAGCCTCCCTGTAACTTATTCAGAAAGGGCTGCCTCCCTAATCCCTCTGAGTCCTGACATGTTAACTGGGTAGCGACTAATTAGATGTCAAAAATTCATAAGCGCTCTTTAATATTGCATATATCTGCAGCCGACATTTCAATATGAGAGTTGTATACACAGAAGTCACTATAGCATTAAAACACAGCGGGGTGGAAGAAATAAAAGGGAACCAATAAAAACAATGTCCCTTAAAAACCCCAGAGAGTGCCAGCTTTGGAAGTGTGTACTTTCTTATTCAGAAAAGGTATCACCTTAATAAGAATTATAGGCAAAGGGGTTTCGCTGCTCCGTGCTGCGTGGACAGAAATAGGGAGAGGAGATGCACTTATCAAAGGCACTGCCAGGTAAATAGTAATTTATTGTGCATGCACAATGAACATTACCCAGTGTCCTGGGTGATAATGAAAGGTATGTTATTGTGGAATCCACTGAGGGAATTTCCACTCCCCCTCCTCCCTTCTCCTCTTGTCTCTCTTGAGCAAAGAAGTCGTGATGGGTCCTGGCAGCTTCTGCCTGTTTCAAGCCATTTCACATAATATAGAAAGCACCTGAAGTTTAGTGGATTAAGTAAGTGAGTTAGTTTGCCAGCTCGGTGATATATATGTTGCTTGCATGTGAACTTATATTTCAAATGCTGGGGACTATATTTTTATGAAACAAGCCTTTTCCTGTCGGAAGAATTATAGGAATGTGATATAATACAAGGCAGTGAGATTAAAAACAATGCATCATAGCAGGGAGAAAATGCACTGTTTTATGACTTGCATCCGTTAATTGAACCTCTCAGGAATCAAGAGAAGGGCTCTGCAGGCACCTGCTGGAAAATCACTGTCTTTTTTTTACTTCCGTGTTTTGTTGTTGTTATTTTTATTTTTTATCATGCCTGTAGATACATACATATAGCCATGCATATATACATGTATACCCACGTATATTTATGGACACTCACGCCCATGAATGACATATCTGTCTTTCTGTACAATGCTGTACTTTTATTGCCTTTTAATGCTGCTCACATTTGATTTAAGAGGAGAGTGAGAAAGTTGTATTGAGGAGCATCAAAACTGTATCTGAATTACAATCATTAGGTGGACAATTATTAGTAGCTTTGCACACATTCCGTTCACATTCTGGGCCTCAGTTTTCTCTTCTGCAAGACAGGAGAGGCGATGTTGTTCTCCCAGGTTGGTTAAAACAAAGTACAGTAAAGACATGAGGAAAGCCAAGGCCCCTGTGAGATGCCAAGCACTATATAGAGACTCTCTGTCTTGGTTGTCCTGCATCGAGGCCACGGCTGGGCTGCTTTTTGCCACACATATTGTGATATTGACACAGATTTATTTTTTGTCCGCTGAATTTTGCTTTTCACTTGAATTTCTCTATAATTGCAACAACGCAGCAAGAGCCACGCAAAAGTGATTAAGATCAGTTTCATGGTTTGGAGGAAATCCCTCTCAAAGACAGTCCGGTGCTCCATCTCTGATTACATCTATGCAGACTCAACATTAGGGTGCATTGCTGGACCCATGCCTGTCCCTGGAATGTCAACACTAAGGGGAGGCTCCCCAAGAAAGGATGAGACCTGACTTAGTCATCTGGCACAATGCCAGGGTCAATGGTCAATCTTTATCTGATTATACAGGGTCTTTGATTTGAAATTCACTACATTAATTCAGGCTGAAAGAGTCTTTTATGATCAATATTTAAACAATAATTAACTGCATTCACTTGCTATTTTTGTACCTCTGATTCTTCTTATGATATTAAATCAGGTTATTCCCTGGTTTCAGTATTTCGTATTTCAAAACAGGATTCTCTATCAAATTTGACCAGTATCTAGGAAAACAAGATCTCTCCTGGTTTGCCTGGAGCTGATAACGAGGTCTTTCTTTCTTTCAGTTGGTTAAGATTAAAGTCCAGGTCACTTCACTCATTCACTTCATTATTCACCCACTTCATTCATTCACTCATTCATCCATTCCTGCATTTATCTTTCATAAACGGCCAGTCTGGCTGGTATATTTTGCCAAAGAAGACACAGCATTGGGACATGGTATTTATCTTTAATAAAAGCATAAAGTTCAATTTGATGACCCCTGGCTCACACACTACTCCTCAGCTCTTCACTAGTAAACTTGAGCCCAAGGTTAGGTTCAGGTTCTCATCATTTCTGATTTGGAAGGAGCTTTTCCAAGAGTTCAGGGGCTCCTTTCAAAACTGGGCCTGAGCCTCCCAGAACCCACAATCACAGGACCTGCGAAGCAAAATCCACTCTGCCTTCAGGGTTGCTGCTCTCTCCCCAGGCATATACATTGCATCAGCCCCTTCCTGCCACAGAGCCAGTGAGCATTTCCGTAGCCTCAATGTGCAGCTCTGCAAATGAGCCCCCTTGGCTCTGAGGGATACCATTCCGCAGGAACATGACATTGAGCACCAAATCCCAGGACCTACCCTCTGCTCTCAGCCCTCTTATCCAGAAAAGCTACATTATGTGAGTCCTGAGCTCTCTATGATCAGGCTCCTTCCATATCTGAACTCTTTCACTCTGGCCTCTAGTTCCGAGTCCTGCTTGCCGTGGTTTGAGTGTTGCTTGTGTGGTTAACAGGCTCATGCCTGACAGTGACCTTGGAAATGACCACTATATTGAAAAGAAGAGGCTTATCTGTGTGTACATATTGGGAAGGAACTAGACCTGGCAAGCAAGAAAGATGATTTTGACCCAAAGTGAAGATCCAGCTACGTCCAGGGACAGATCAGACTATGGGATCATGGGAGAGTTTTGTATCCGAGATCCTGAGTTTGACTTGGTCAGGCCTTAAGTCTGTTCCCCACTGTGTCTTGGACAGGTAGGGATAAAAATGATCAGAGAATGGGAAATGGATGAAGGAAGCAAGGATGGACAAGGAGAGAGAGTTTTGGAAGCCCGGGCTTGTGCAACAGAAAAGACTTGGATTGAAGGTGGACCATGGGCAGGTTTGCTCTGCATACATGTAAGTGATGGGAGCCTATTTATAACTTGGCTCTGTGGTCCTTGGGAGGTGACGCTTCCTTATTTGTTCTCACCGTCCAGAAACGAATCATATTTTCCAAGCCCCCCCCCCACCCTTTTTATACTTTTCTAGGCCAGTTTGGGAGAGGAGGTTTTGTTTAGATATCTGCAGTGGCTCAGGTCGAAGAAAGTCAGTCATTGCAAACCTTCACTAGGTCTTTGCATATTAGGCATGCCAATTATTTCTGTCCATGGTGAGCTCTAGCACAGTTAGGAATCAGAATGACTAACAGAGGACTGGGTCGGTTCTGCGGAATGATGGAAGTGGCGGATGGTGCCAAGTCCATGACATACAGAAGCAGATTATGTTACAGTGTTAGCCAGTCTTTTCTCAACATAAACTTGAACTGCTCTGCTCCTGAGAATGATCATACATCCCTGAGATGCTGCATCTGTGTAGATGTGTATGTTCATGTATGTATGTCCGCATGTGTTTACTGAGTATCTACTGCAGGGTGGGCAGTATTCTGGATAGAGGTGATATGGCCAACTGTCTTTACCAGGCTGAAGTTTGCCATCTGGTGAAAAAGAGATGCATTAGATAAATGATTATGAATGCACTCAACAGTCAGGATGGTAGGAGATTGTCAGATGCAGAAATGAGCTCTGAGGATCTATTATTTCCTTTGGGCACTCATTTGAGAATCAGTACCAAGCCCCGGTTGCTATGCAAAATTGGGACAAATGTGTGTGTCACGGGTTCAGGAAGAGCTGTCGGTTTAGTGGTCACTTTGGGACTTTGCATAGATCTGCTTTATTCAGCCTGAGTACCCATCTTCCAATTGCTGCAAGTGTTGGCTGTTGTTGTAGGCTCAAAGCTGCACCATTCTGTAGAGAATCACCCTCTGCTATAGAACCCCTCACCCTAGAAATTGCACTCCCCACCCACCCACCCCAACACAGGTGGCTTGCAGCTAATAGCTAACTGATGCGTGGGAACAATCGTCTGGAGTCCAAGTCACCAAGGGGACCGATATTGTGGTGCCATTTATACCCCAGAGCTTCTGTGGGATTAGACATGAGCTAGCCTGCAGCTGAGACTTCATCCTTGCTCAGCATCTTCTCCTGCCCTTCCTCTGATTTTGTTCCTCTTTTTAAAGTTTCTCTCTCAGTAAATCACTTGATCAGAGATTTCCATCTTAGGCTCTGCTCCTTGGGACTGCAAGCTCAGTGATGTGCTGTAGGGCAGGGTGACCTCACAAGGGGTTAGTGATAACCTCTCCTGCTCAGTGCTTACTTAGTTGCTAGGGCCTAAACCTATTCCTTGTGCACCCCCGACAACGGTCAGTGGCAAAAGAATAATTCTCGGGTCATATGAAATAATCTAGAAGAAGCTTCGTGTTTATCCCCAGCTGAAATCTTAAACCTCTATAGCTTTGAGCTCCAAAGGAAAGGCAAGCAGATCTCAGCAGAAGTAGCTAGTTGGAAGCTGACAAAAGGAGATTAATTTGGGGTTCAGCTAGAATGAACTCACTGGAGAGATCAATGGATTTTAAGTCTTTTATATATATATATAAATTTATTGCATTTT